ATTATGGACAGTCCATTTTTAAAGATAAGCAATGTATTTTGCTACACTTCAGAAATTGAAATAACGTCTTTTATATTTTCTGATTATTTGGAAAAAAACACTGATGTACCTTTAGTATACAGTGCCAATTAAATAATAATTGTTGTTGTTGTTGATAGGCATATAATTACAACTTTTCAATTTCTTTCTCTATTTACAGGCATTGGCTGAGTGTTACACTGATTTACGAAACAGAGGAGGTGTGGTGAATCTGCAACTCACCGAAACATGGTGGAGAGAATACCAGGTAAAGCTTGATTTTTCTAAAATCTGATATTTCTGTATTTTCACCTTTTGAAAGGCCATGGATCATCTTAATGTATAGTAAAAACATGCTCAACTTCTAAAACTTGTCTTACTCTTCTAAAAGCCCGGATTTTGAGTGTTTTTTCATTTTGGAAAATCAGGAACCGCATGTACCTGGAATGGACTGGACTTCGGTTGGCTGGATCGTACGGAACGCATACTCTATTTTCACGCCCAATTTGCAGCTTTTATCCTATGGTTTTTATATTATTATTCGTAAATAGTGATTCTATTCCAAAATGATGCAAAAAAAAATGCAAAAAAAAATTCTTTTTAACTTTTTTTTTTGATTGAGGCACTCTAATTTTACGACTAATTTTTCATCATCAAGATGCTATTGAGATAAATTGGATGTTACTTGGATGTGACTGCAATGGATTGATTGAGACTGAAAACTAGTTTAAGCCGAATTTGCAGCTTTTATCCTATCTCTTATATTTTGATATTCATAAATAGTAATTTGATGCTGAATAATAATAATTACACTGACATTATATTGAATTTTGTAAAATCAAGAAATTTGCTTCGTGTCTGGCCATCCACCAACAGTCAAACTCTTTAGTACATTTGAGACTTTCATGTGTTATCAAAGGCTATTGATGATCAAAGTCAGGTCACAGGTAACGCACAGATCCAATTTTTAGCGTGTTAGGTTTTTCAAAGGGAGAAAACCCAGAATACCCAGAGAAAGCTAACTAATAATACATTATATAATGTGAGGTCATTAAGCATCTAATGCGTAAATCTTACTTACTAAACTGACATTATAATCACCTTTAAATGATTAAAAGTGGGTTAGCAGAAGGTCAGGTCAAAATGTTTCCTTAATTTCTATCAAATTTGTTTYCATTTTAGGTTTTACCAGGTCGAACGCACCCTCTTGTCAATATGGATGGATCTGGAGGGTATTTACTCTCTGGCACTACTGTAGAGAGAACTCCTAGCTCAGATTCCTCGCCCATTCAAACTGAGACGCCCGACGAAAGAGCTGAAATTCCTGAAACTGTCACATCTTGTTTGAAAGAGAACAACAGCACGAGTCAAACACTAGCCGAAGAAGAAAGCAGTGAGCCTCCTGCGAAAAAAGTCAAAGAATAACCTTGAAAGGAAATTTCACACAAAATCCATTTCTGTTATAAGAACATGTAAAATAACGTAGTTATCATTAAAAATATTAGTAGATTCTTGAAATTATTGTTCAAATTCGCTGCTTAATCGAGAATTTTTCAAATATACATGTCACGTGATATTGTGGTCTTTACCGCTAGCGGTGCAATCCCTGCCGCAGAGGTGTCTATGATCCTGTCGCGAGGGAAGATGTATATATAACGTTCCTCGAGAACCCGTTCACCAAGTGGCTGTCATAGAAAACTGTAACTACGGTTTGGTAAACAAGACCTGTTTACAGGAATGTATACGTGGCTATTGTAACATTTTTAATAACGATCCTCAACACAATCACAGTCAAATTTGCTTCGGAGGACATTGTTACCTCGATTGCAATGATTACCATAAATGTAGTCAAGTTTGTATCGGGGAAGGATGCAAGAAGTTAACCTGTAAATCTGGAGTCTGCATACAGGAATGTGTTGCGGGGGGGGGGGGGGGGGGGGGGGGGGGGGGGGGGGTAGGGTGAAATTACTGAGCCTAATTTTAAGCGAATTCGAGTGACGGAGGAAAAAACGCCAGGATACTGGAGTCATTCAGGTCGCAGAAATATAAAACAGGCTGTAAATATACAGAGTGTAAAAGATATCTCAAAGAGGGTTCCGTGTAACCACCCGTGAATCTAATACTAGCACAAAGTGCTACGTTATGTTATTAGAGATTATTTTCCATTGTATAATGTTATAGTTTTAAAGAATAAAAGACGCTGTAAATACAACTAGTACTAGTTTGATTCTTTTGAACTTGATGGCTGCTTTTCTTTTCACTACTTGCCAGAACGCTGATGTGTGTTTAAGGAAGCGCGCGATATTTCTTGGTGTACCATTCGAAAGCATTGTATAATTACGCCCCTTACCAAAGAAGACGTAAATTGCCAAGACTGAGGTTTTCTTACCTGACGAAGCCGTAGGCTAAAAGAGCCGAGGTCTTGATAATTTACAATATCATGCCAAAACCAAACTAGTAATTGTTTTATATACATTTTTGAAACTACAAATAAATATTTAATTCTCCTTTCAAAAAAATAGCAAACGTTTTTCAATTTCTGCTGCAACCTTGAGTGAACATGCCAGGATAAATCTATTATCTTCAAAACATTTTTGCAATTAATTAATTAGAGTTAGAAATTGAAAAACGAGGTCCAAATGGGTTTCAAAGTGAAGCCAAGATACATACGATGGAAGGCTACATGACGGGCGGAGAAAGACCCCTTAAAATACAGTAAATGTATGTAATTTGTGCTTTGAGGGGCCTGTGAAACGCACTCTACGCCCGCGATGTAGTCTTTTTTCATTAACACACCATTCAACCACAAACTAAGCCTGGTATTTTSTATCCTTTCAGTTGGTTGTATCATGAAGCAATCGAACACAAAACCGAGGCTGATGAGAATAGATTTCTAACCGCTAGAGTCATTGTGGACGAAGCAATCAACAGCAAGTTTGAGAAGAAGTTTAGGGATTTTCTCTTGAGAGTAGCGTTAATAGTATTCTTTACCAGAGTCAAGGTTAATTCCCCATACTCAAACACCCAGTTAAAATAGCTCTAAACTTTACAGCTTACACAGTTTGCTGATAACAAGCAAAATATAAGAGGTTTAAATAATAGTTTGACTGAGTTCCTAGGCTTGTCTGCCATCCGTTTTTGCCGTTTGACTCCGCACAGAGAACCTAGTCAACTCCTTCAGGTCTGTTAAGTTTCATTTAGTCTATTTTCTTTTTTATGTTTGATTTGATTTTTTGTTCGGCTTCGACCAATATACACATTTTTTTATATGATAATAATATCGATAAGATGTAGGTAAATTTATGAATGATCAACGAGTGTATTAGACTGCCGGACACGCAATTGCTAATACTCTGTGTCCGGCAGTCAACTATACCAACAATTGTAGAAAAGGGGTTGGGCACCCTGTTGAATCTTTAGCACTTATAACACCACAGGCAGTCCAAACGTTTGAATAGTCAATCAATAAACAAATACATACTCATATAATTTTGAACACAAATAACTATCACAACCCACCTTTTCTGTTTTCACTTGAATAGTACTGATACAGGGATACTGTACAGAATATCTATCCCTTTGGAATAACAACTTTCTTTTTACCCTTTGCGGTATGATGGCAACTGTATTCCGCTCTATTTTCTGTTCTTAACTTGTTGTCTGACATAAACACAAATAAGGCATCTTCGAACGTCTTTATTCATTCCCTGTTGGTTTAAAATGAAACGTTATGGTTAAAAAAAGTATAACAAAAACACTGATTGTCACAGAATAGCCTTTTAAGGTTAAAACCTTTTCCTTCGCATTAAAGTAATATTTTATTAATTTTTAAAAACAACTGCGTCAAAGCAGTTGTTCGAGGTACGTTAGACATTTAACATTGATTTTAACTTGAAATATCAATAAAAAATATTCATCGATTCCCACACTCCACCTGATAAAAGTCCGATCCAAGGGGTCAATCCAGGTTTGGATATTCCACAATTTTGGATTTTGAGGCAAAAAGTACAATATTCCGAGAGAGCAGGTGAAATAGGTATCGATGGTGTAATTTGTCTTACTTTATTCGTAAACAAAACATGTTCTTATGAGCATCTAATGAATGAACCCTCGAGCAAATTGTATACCTAACAACACACCTTCCCCTCCCCCAATGAATTAGGTTTGACATTATATATTTTTTGCAGCCAAAACCTTACGCTCAGTATTTTGAGCGAGTGAAATCGCGGATTATCGGAATGTGAATTCAAAAGCGTAAAAATATAAAATATTAGTCAAAAATAACGTTAGATGACATGTTTACAAATACCTCATATTGTCTAGATGGGATACTCGCAGTCCAGGTGATTGAGAAAGAGTAGGGAGAGTATAATTGTCAGGGAAATTTTATTCAGTCGTCTAGTAGTCGTAACGTGCTGGCTAAAAGGGATAAAACATAAATATTTTTGAAGTTGTAAAAAGCGTTGTGACATTGATCGGTAGGATATCGATAAAATTATATAACGACTCTATCCGAAGACGATTTCTTTGTCTAGTATGGATTAATCGAAATATTTTGATACTCGTTTTATTTTACGGTGCTATCGTCGAATCTCAGGTTCCATGCTACATGCCATTGTTATTACACGTATAAGTTCAAGGCATGCCAAGTACTATGTATATAGTTTTGGAGTCGATCACTTTCTGATTCATTCCGACATGAACTAGGATAGTCGCGCGCGGATATAAGAATCAGTTTCAGTTTGTTGTATCGGATTAAAAAAAGTTGTCCAGGACTGGAACATTCTTTACCTTGATTTTTTCACAGTTATACATAATCTAATCTACTCTAATCTACTCAAAAGGGTTTTAAAGTAAAGCCAAGATACATACGATAGAAGGCTACATCMCGGGCGGAGAGTGACTCCTTAAAATACAGTAAATGTATGTAATTTGTGCTTTGAGGGGGCTGTGAAACGCATTCTACGCCCGCGATGTAGTCTTTTTTTCATTAACACACCATTCAACCACAAACTAAGGCTGGTATTTTTTATCCCTTCAGTTGGTTGTATCATGAAGCAATTGAACACAAAAACGAGGCTGAGGAGTATAGATTTCTAACCGCTAGAGTCTTCATGGACGAAACAATCAGCAAACAAGTTCGAGAAGAAGTTTAGAAATTTTCTCTCGAGAATAGCGTCAATAGTATTCTTTACCAGAGTCAAGATTAACGCCCAATACTCAAACACCCCGTTAAAAATAAAATAAAGGCTTGAAACTCTTCAACATACACAGTTTGCTGATAACAAGCAAAATATAAGAGGTTTACTTAAAWAATAGTTTGATTGAGTTGCTAGGCTCTTGTCTCTCATCTTTCTTGTTTGACTCCGCACAGACAGCCTTGTCAGCTCCTATGAGCTATAGCTATATTGTTCCATTAAATTTCTTTTTTTCTGTTTAATTTTTTTTCTATTTCAATTTTTTCGGCGTCGACCAATACATATAACTTTTGGATGATGTAAATGGTTCTTTCAATGGATGTGAAAATAGCTCTGCTTTATGGTCTCAAGCTTAGTTCACATGCTGTGAAAGGACCTTTGCGTATCCTAATCGACCTTTCAACCATATCCGTCAATTAAGTTTCTTTTGATTTTGTTTTATTCATTTATTATTTATGTATACTTATTTTGAGTTAAGTTGAGTTGAATAAAATATAAAGCTTATTGAAGTTGTAAAAAGCGTTCTGACATTGATCGGTATGATATCGATAAAATTATATAACGACTATCCCAAGACGATTTCTTTGTATAGTATGGATTAATCGGAATATTTTGATACTCGTTTTACTTTACGGTGCTATCGTCGAATCTCACGTTCCCCGTTATGGCAGGCAATTGTCCTTACATCTATAAGATCAAGGCACGCCAAGTAATATGTACTTAGGTATAGTGTTTGAGTGGATCACTTTCTAATTCACTCCGATATGAACTAGGATAGTGGCGCGCGGAGATAAGAATCAGTTTCAGCTYGTTGTATCAGATTAAAAAAAGTTGTCCAGGACTGGAAAATTCTGTACCTCGAATTTTTCACAATTATACATAATCTATTCTTTATTATTTTTTTCATGCTACAAGAGTTAGAAATTGAAAAACGCGGTTCCAAATGGGTTTTAAAGTGAAGACAAGATAATTACTCTGGAAGGCTACATCACGGGCGGAGAAAGAGCCCTGACTATACAGTAAATGTATGTAATTTGTGCTGTGAGGGGCCTGTGAAACGCCCTCTACGCCCGCGATGTAGTCTTTTTTTCATTAACTCACCATTCAACCACAAACTAAGCCTGGTATTTTGTATCCTTTCAGTTGGTTGTATCATGAAGCAATTGAACACAAAACCGGGGTTGAAGAAAATATATTTCTAACCGCTAGAGTCTTCATGGACGAAACAATCAGCAAACAAGTTCGAGAAGAAGTTTAGAAATTTTTTCTCGAAAATAGCGTCAATAGTATTCTTTACCAGAGTCAAGGTTAACGCCCAAT